GTAGTCCTTGCATCGTGGCTTGCTTTGAATTGATTATGGTATTTAATGGAAGTTGACCAAAAATTTGAAGATTGATTAGACCTTTTATTTTTCTTTATTTGAAATGAGATTTGAACGTCACTATGGGTTGGCCATTGGGATGACCTCTATGAAGCACGGATATGGATATGAGATACAGATACGACACGATACAATACGGATATGACGATACGGCAAAAAAAAAATATGGATACTGCTAGTATACATCCATAAAATATATATTTTTTAAAATTTTATTATTATATTTAATGTAATAATTATGATTTATAAAGTGAATCACACATATACCAAAGATATATAATAATAACTAACCATTCTATCATTCATAAATCATAAATTCTATATCACATACATATTGCATAATATCAAGTCCATGCTTAAACAACACATACATATTGCATAATATCAAGTCTATGCTTAAACAAAAAGAATCATCCGATTACAAGTCAAGCAACAAAAAACTTGTAATTTGGAATATTATCCAATTACAAGTCAAGCAACAAAACAATCCCTCTTATTACTAAGACGTTTCCCCAAAATTATCTCAAACAACTAGCAACGCAGCCACCATAAAGACAATGCACCCATAATGCCAAACTCCAAACAGAGCATGACACCAGAAGAAACAGAGAGTTCACAATCTCACAAAGACCATAAAATGCTTCCATAGAAAAGGCAGTTCAAGCAAGAGGGCAGCCACCAAACACAGTGGACCCGATCAATCCAAAACCAAAAACCCACCAAGACAAACAGTGCAAAAAAACTTAGATGTTGAATAATATATTTGTATATGTTTAGTTTGTTCTCCAAAAAAAAAAAAACTCTAATTACAAATCCTAATTCAAGGCCCCAAAAAATCCCCTAAATTGCAAACCCTAATTCAAGGCTCAAAAGGAGTGTTAATCACTAGTAAAAGGCAAAAGAGACGACAGAGAAACAAAAAAATAGAGAGAGGAGAGAGTTTACCCGATATACTTGGACACAGAGAGATAAGATGTTTTTTCGTCGTCAAGAGATGTTGTCGAGGTCAAATATAGATCGTCGGAGGTGAAAGAGGAGATACCCGTCGTCGATTGGCGTCAAATACAGTCAGTCGATCGTCAATGTAAGTGAGAGAGAGAGAGAGAGAGACACGATCGTCGATCGTCGACTGAAGGGGGGGCTGTGGAATAAAAGAAAATAGGATTTCATAATATATATATTTTTTTACAAATAAGGGCCTAAATATATTTGCTCTTGTGCCCCTATACTTTTTTAAAATTTGAGTAATACCTCGCCGTATCCTTATGCGTATCCTAGGCGTATCCCCTCGTATCCAAAATGTATTCGACCGTATCCAAAAATTAAATTTATTTTTTTAATTTTAAGATACTTCTCAGACGTATCCGAGTCGCATCCAACGCGTATCTGTATCCAAAAGTATCCGATACGGATACTTTGACTCTTTTGAAGTATCCGTACTTCATAGGATGACCCTAAACACTCCAGTGTTACTTTGTCCTGTCATATTGGCAATTTTCATCCAAAACAATAATGGACGTTTGCATTTCTGGCAATGTAACATAATTCGAGCAGTTGTTGGGGCAATATAAAAAATTCAATAGCTAAAGGGGCAATGTGAAATCGAGTCAATAGTTAAGTGAGTCAAAGTGTATAATTTGCCCTTATTTCAATGGGTAAACCACATAAATGGCCCCAGAACTTTTCTATTTTTTTAAAATTGTACTATAAACTTTAAATTTTTTGATTTTACCCCCTAAACTATTTAAATCATTTTAATCAACACCTTCCATTAGATTTCACCGTTAAATAGGGATAAAACCCAAACGGCAAATGCAAATGACATATATTGAAGGTCATTTTTGACATTTCACCTATTGTGCTCCCATTTCTCCTGATGCTCTGTTTTATTTTACCCTTAATGCTCTCTTCTATCCAGTTGAGAAGAAAGAGAGAGAGAATCAAGCCATGGAGAGAGAGAAAATCAAGCCATGGATGGGTATTGGGTTTTAGGTATTGTGTTCCTTAAAGAAATTGGGTGTTAGGTAGTGTTGTTGGGTGTGGGGTACTATGTTCCTTAAAAAATTTGGGTGTTAGGAATTGGGTGTTGAGTAGTATTGGGTATTGGGGGTACTGTGTTGGGTAGTGGTGGTACTGTGTTCTCTTAATCAAATTTTACATACAAGTAAGTGAGGGAATGGAAAATCAAGAGGCTTGGGCTTTGCATTCTAAATTCTCATCTACCCAGATGGAGAATTGTGACAGGAACACTGTTTGTGAACCTGTTGGTTTGGGAAATTCATTTCCAGTACCCATTTCTAATAAGAGTTTTGATTCATTGATGTCTTATAATTACTTCTATATTTTATGGTATATGGTAAAGATCTCAGCTTTTGAATCAGTCCTGGGTGCCCCAAGCAAGGATGTAGCTTTTGAAGCTTTGATTTTTGTTCTTATTTTTGGGTCAACTGGTGTTACTAATTTATTTAGCTGTGAGTCTGTAATTTTATTTAAGTTGTTTGTATTTGGTATTTTACTATTTGTCCTACTTGATGAGTTTTGCAATTATTTTGGTCCTCCTGTAAATGAAATTGAGTTTGATACTTCTGTTTTTTGCTTTTGCTTTTATTAAATATTCTATAGATCTTTTGTGATATGTTTTTATAGTTTCTTATCTGTTCTAACATCTGGGTAATAAACATCCATGGCTTGATTTTCTCTCTCTCTCTCTCTCTCTCTCTCTCTCTCTCTCTCAACTGGACAAAACAGAGCATTGAAGGTCAAATAAAATAGAGCATCAGGAGGAATGGGAGGGAATTTTGGCGCCTAAAACCCTTACACAATAGGGGAAATGCTTAAAATGACCTTCAATATAAGCCATTTTCATTTTCCTTTCAGGTTTTATCCCTATTTAAAGGTGAAATCTAATGGAATGTGTTGATTAAAATGATTTAAATAGTTCAGGGGGTAAAATCAAAAAATTTAAAGTTTAGGGTGCAATTTAAAAAAAATAAAAAAGTTCAGGGGTCATTTATGTGGTTTACCCTATTTCAATTTAACCCCAAGTTTTAAAATCCTTGATGTTATTTCCACCCAAGATTCAAACTCTACCGTGTCCCAAATTATTATCTAGTTGGGATCTATTAACACGAAAAGGGGTTGATGTGGAATTAACGAGTATGAGTTTTGGTTTAACAAGTTTTTGAACAATCAGAGCTTGACTCATTTAGTAATGGGCAGTAATGAACCACACAAAACACCATAAAAACTCTGTTGCATACTGTTTATAACTTTATACAGATCACTAATTTGATTGTAGTTAATTATAAATGGTTTGAGTGTGAGTTGATTAAATTTTGATACGATATGCTTTACAAATTTAAAAAAAAAATCCGACTTACAGCATTTAAAAAACAAGACAAGACAACACGAATCAATGATAGAAACAATCAACTAAACATGAAAAAACAACACCTATACGTATTCAGACAAGACAAGCTTCGTAATTGGTAAATTAAAGAGGCACCTCTGATTCAATATCTAACATTTATAGTCTAACATCTTAGCTTAATAATCTGATCTAATATCTTACCATAATAATCTGGTAAAAAATGTAACAGTCATAATTATAAAAATACTAGAGGTAATCCATACTTTAAGGTACGGTATAATGTAAATAATTTTGAGAGAGATGTTGGTGATCGTTGGATGAGTCTATTTGAAACCGTTGAATGAACTTATTGAAATCTGCTCTATTTTATATTATAGATTATTAAATCATTTCACTTGACGCATAATTAATTTATTTAGATTAGATCTTAATTATATTATTATTTTTTCCCTTTTTCCTTAACTGCAACTTTATCGTTTAGTATTGAATGAAAAAATGAAAGGAAAGGACAAATATGTATGTAAAAATTACTTCTCTACCCTTACTATCCTTATAATATTTNGCAATAAAAGTTCTATTATATGAATATTAATGTTAGCTTTGAAGAAAAAAATCAATATTAAAGCTTGACACTATATGAATATTAAAACTGAATATGTTATGCTACCGAAAACAATAACACCATGGGGAACCTAATTATCAACCTAATTATCTATTAGTCGCACTGACCTCGACTTGTGTCATATCATTGATATGGTTTCGATAAAAAAAATTCTGACAGATTTACTTACAATGATGTCGTTCGATATATAGTATCAGGTCATACATCATTAAGTTACCGTGTTAGATCTGATTATTAGATATTAATAACAATATTTAAAATATAAATTATTTCGCCAANATCCCAATAATATTGCTCATAATATATTGAGCGCCTAATGTTTCTTGCAATGAATATTATGACTCATTCAAGTAGGTTTTTTTTTTGGTTCAAACTCATTTAAGTACGTTTATTATGAACAAGCAAAAAAAAAATAATAATAAGTTGGTTATTATATTAGTTGGGATGCACCAGACCACTAGTAATAAGTGGAAGTGGGTACTGAAACAATGTTTTAGAAGTGCATCAAGGGCAAAAACGTTAGATTAGACAAACTATTAGTTGGTCTGCAACTCTTCTCCAACTTTCCACCCACTTTTGGGGGGAAAGAAATTGGTGTGTGGGAAGGATAGCATTTTACTCCAATTTTTCTCTCCCTTCTCTTTTCTTTTCAAACCAAACAGTGAAAAATCTTTCCTTCCATCTGCTTTTCCTTTCCCTATTTTCTATCCACCCTATCTTCTATCAAACCAAACAGAGGGTAAGCAAAAAGAGAACAACCACTTTTATTAACTATTTGGGAGAAACCAATGAAAAGTCAGCTTAGAGCTTCGGAGTGGGCCCAAGCGAAGATTGGCACTTGAAGGTTTGAGGAATAGCTCGAAAAAAGTAAAACCAAGAAGACGACAAACACCGACATATAAAACAAAATTACTACAATTTTATTCTAAAGTTTCCAAAGAAGTAACTTTAAAATCCATTCCAAACAAAATCATCAGGAGAACATTGACCCAAAAGACCTATTAAATCAGGAGCATTCACGTTAAAACCATCATCCAAAAACCAAAAAGAGCTATCGTAACCATCATTATTCAGGGTTGGCTCTAGTAGTGTGTCAAACAACCCCTTTGTGCCTTCAGAGCAGCCCCCTTCAAGCACTTTTTGACTTGTAGCTCCAACTGATGCTCCATAGTTCGTCTTCGTCTTCGTCTCCTGAGAGATATTGAACTTCTCTTCTGTTGCTGTGGGTAGGGTTTGTGAAGAAGCTATAGCTTTGTTTTTTTGCTTGTTGATTTTTTCTAGCTTTTTCCTCAAACGAGTGTTCCAGTGGTTCTTCACTTGGTTGTCGGTTCGTCCAGGCACTCTCCCAGCGATTAAAGCCCACCTATAAGATCAGTATAATCCACCTTTTTAGTTGCTTCATTGACATTAAAAACAATGGTGCATGCAATAAAAGTTCTATTATATGAATATTAATGTTAGCTTTGAAGAAAAAAATCAATGTTAAAGCTTGACACTATATGAATATTAAAACTGAATATGTTATGCTACCGAAAACAATAACACCACGGGGAACCTAATTATCTATTAGTCGCAATGACCTCGACTTGTGTCATATCATTTGATATGGTTTCAATAAAAAAAATTCTGACAGATGTAATTACAATGATGACGTTCGATATATAGTGTCAGGCCATACATCATTAAGTTACCGTGTTAGATCTGATTATTAGATATTAATAACAATATTTAAAATAGAAATTATTTCGCCAAATTTATATAGGTGAAGAAATAATGAAATGGTTGTGTTTGGGAAAAGGAAAATGACCTGTTTCCAAGGAGGTTATGGAGCCTATTGATGAGGTCATCTTCTTCCTCCGTAAAATCTTCACGATTTACATTAGGGCAAAGATAATTAATCCACCTTAATCTGCAACTCTTGCCACACCTCTTCAACCCTATCAAATTGACAACCAATCAGAAACTAACAACTGTAATGGCCGGTTCAAGTGTATTTTTTAAATTGGACTTTTTTAGTAAATAATTAAACTGAATTATTGCATGGAGATATAGAAAAGGGTAAACCTGTCATATTAGCAACTCGATTCCACCTGCCTTTCCCATGCTTCCTTACATACTCCTTGAGAATTCTGTCTTCCTCCACTGTCCAGAAACCTTTTTTGTATCCGCTTCCTTCTTTCATTGTTGTTACACGAGAGAGAGAGAGAGAGAGAGAGTGAGTGTGTGTTTGTGGAATTGGCTGATTTGGTTGGAATTGGATCTTTGGAAAGTCTTCTTATAGTTCTTACATATATAGCTGTGATGCTAACAGTTCAGGAATACCAGACAGGCTGATAGTGTTGGAAGGTTGTGTGTGGCTAGATTTCATGGACTATGATTTGATTTGATGTCATTTTTTTCTACTTTTATCAACTTGAACTCGCACGAATAGTTCAGCAGTATAGTTTAACGGTGGATTGATTTGAACCCATTTTTTCTCGCTTATTACTTGAGTTCAAAATTTAACGAGTGTGTTAGTTAGGTAGGACTAAACTTATTATTCAGTGTCTAGAGTATCCAGTGAAATATTAACTTCGGTTTCATTGGTGCAATAGAATCTCTTGCAAATAACCACATGATGCTGGGAGATAATACTCTATAACGAATATGTGCAATGATCTATCTGTATATACATTTCAATACAAAAAAAAAAAAAACAAAAACAAATTGTAAATTCATATATTTGAATTCAATTCTTTTTGGTTTTTTTTTTTTTTGAGTTATATTTTATCTATCTATAGATAACAGGAAGGTGTAGATATTCAAGATTTATTTCGTGGAATAAATCCAATTTGAACATGTTCCAAAGAAAATATTGTAACAAAAGAAAAAACTTTTATCATCCTGTAAAATTGTGGTATGGCATAATAACCATCAAAGAAAAAATATCTATATAATAAGAGAATTAGAAATTTGAATCTTTATTTTCACATATATATTTTGCTCACAAAATCAAGTTTTTATTAATTTGTGGCTCAATATAATAGTGTACATATATTAATATTTTTTAAGTCATGTATTTAAAAAAAATTATCTATATTTTGAAAAATAATATTAGAAATTAATTTTAAATTATATAATTAAAAAATAAAAAATATTATTATTTTAAATAATAATATTAATTTTTTAAAATTTTGAATTTTATGTTAGATCGTGTTTCATGGCTAGCTAGTTATTGTTACAAGTAAAATTGTGAAACTGAGTTTGATTTGATGGCTAATGTGGTAAGGCTTTCTTTTTGGACATTATAGTGAGAGAGCCTTAAAAATTCTGAAATTAAAAAGAGAATTACACCCACTATATCCTTTTACTTTTCTTTTTTTTTTTTTTTCTTTTTGTTAATATTTTTTTGGTTGTGCAATTTTTTCTTGACAGCAAACATAGGTAATTTGAATTTAACCCTTTTTCATCATGAGTAAATAAATTTTCCACACAGTAATTTTCTCAATTTGGTATTTCGTAAACGAAAGAGTCACTTTAAAAAGTAAGATCTCACATATTTCAAATAGTGGTGGTAATTTCTCAAACCACACTAAATCATAACTCAAAATCGACACAGAATTAGCGGGTTGAATAATATGAAATTAACATGATTAATATGTTTAACATGTATTATAAGAATAAAATATTAATTTTTATTATATTTTATTAAGTAGTAACATAATCATTGTACAAAAAATATTTTTACTCATTTTTATTATTATATTTATTAAGTTAATTTTTAATTTATAAAAAAATTGTGAGCATAGGTTCGATTAAGTGATAGTTAAATTTTAAACTTAAACCTGAGAGTTAAATTTTTTATTTATGGGNCATCGTTGTAACAAGAAGATTATCAACGTTAATGTAACTAGAAAATATTCAATGTAACAGACAAATTAATGATGTTACTTTTATCAGTTTTTTGACTTTGAAAACAATGATTATGGAGACTCAAGATATGTGGTTGTGAGATTTGACAGTTTGAAATGCAGATTCATTTATTTTCTCTTATAGTTAAGAGCGATTTAGATTCTCTGCATTACATTTATTCTCATTAATAACTCTTCAACTGTGTNTTATTTAATATTTTTAAATAAACTTATCCAACGGCCACTAATATCCTTTTCAAAATCATTTACATCGATTTTTTCCATCCCTTTAAATCTATCACTTCTCACTTACGTTGCACCGTACTTTCAAATAGAATGAAACTAAGATTTACTCCCCAATTAGGATTCCCTCTTAAAGCACAAAGTGATTACAAGTATTTATGTTTTAGCTTTGCAACGATAAACACATTTTTATTAAATAATTTAAAATAANTGTTTCTCCCTTAATTTATAATCTTTTATAATATAAAATAAGATAAACTTAAATAAATTTATTTAACGATCTCAAATAAATTCACCTACCAACCATCAATATTCTTACTAAAATTATTCATAATGTACGTACTTTCAAATAGGGTTTATCCCAACCCAATGCCCTGACCTGCCTTCTCTTCTACACTTACCAAACCCTAAACCTAAAACCCCGCCGCCGCCAATCAAAAGCTCCATTATCAGCCCCCCCCCCCC